GGAGGAAGGGAGGAAGGGAGGAAGGGAGGAAGGAAAATTTGCACATTAGGATATGAAGGAAAGTGCCAGAGATCTGGAAAAATATACGACGGTGTACACGCGATTTGGGACCACAGAAACATCACAGAATGGTATGGAAGCCAAAAAGAGACAGAAGGCAATAAGTACGTTTTAAGATGGCATCCAACTCTTATCTTTGGTGGTCGGCGGGTTGGGTGTGTACAATGGAGATGGTCGCGATGTGCGTCACCTGTCGCTGTGTCACAATCATGTACACGACAACTCTCCCGTATCCCCTTCGCTGCCATACCTGAGCCCCAGCTCCGGCACTGCCTCGCCATTGACCCGCAAGCGCAACACACGCACTGCGCCGGTGGTTTGGGGAGGGTGCGGTCGCGGTCGCGGTTGCGGTTGCGGACAGTATGCACGGGTGACGGAGGGCCCGACACGGGGAGCGTGTCGTACGGCGTGTACGGCATGACAGTCCGCGGCCCATGCGAGGAGAAGGAAAACCCGGGGCCGGAAACCTTGTTGTACTGCAAGGTATGCACTACACGGAATGGAATGCGGAAGCATCTTGTCCACACGTCGATAGCAAGCACTCGCGCACCGGCGACGCACCACTGCCTTCAGCGACCCACGGGTCGATCTACGCGTGACTGACCCACGGCTTTTAATAATCAACAACTCGCATCGCCCAAAAGGGTTTGGAAGACGTACTACCTACTGACCTACATATGCCGTCCCGCCCTCACCGACCCGCGGGTCGCACCCCACATAGATATCCACACACACCTCTGCACACCTGCATCCAACCCTCTCGCCACGCACCCTCTCGCCGCACCTCACCTGCGCGCAGCACATCCAGTTCTCCCGGCACCTCGCTCCTGGCCGGAAGGGGTAACTCGGGCAGAGCGGCCGCAGGTGATGCTGCGGGGGCCCCCCGGCGGGGTGAACACCACCAGCACCACCGACTGCCAGTCGTCCGCCGTCCCCATCCCCATCCCCCGGCCAAAAAGAAGGGAGAGAAATGCCGCCGCCGCCGGCGACGTTGGTGGCTGCCGCCGCCACCACCGCCGGTCCCCGCTGCTGCGGCTGTGGCGCCTTCCGGCCCTCGAACTCGGCGGCTAGGAGCTCCCTTTTCGCAACCGGGTCGCGCGTGTTCCGGACGGCCACGCGAAGTCTGCTCCAGGGACAGCCGGGTCGGGCGTTGGCGTGATCGCGCGAACTAGCACCTACAGCGGCAGTTGCACATTTGAATTTGAAAACATCAATCATCGCTAACACCAAAAAAAATTAATAAAAAAGAAACAGAAAAGTTGGTTAAAATGGATATTGTAAAACGAATAGAAAGACCGTACAGATACCTTCTACAAGACCAATAATAATAATAATAATAATAATAATAATAATAATAATAATAATAATAATAATAATAATAATAATAATAATAATAATAATAATAATAATAATTGGCTCATAATTGTTGTTTGTTTTCTACTAGTCGTTCGTTAGTTATCAATTATAGCATCAAGTCATTATGAAAGGTTTTGCTGTACTGTGAGCATGTGTGTACTACACGGTTTGCGGACATAAACGTCCGTACAATGCCGTACCTGTGCCCCAGAACTGACACTCCGACGCCTTCACATCGCACACGAAGCAGTAGCACTGAAGAGTTGGTGGAAAGGGAAGCGAAGCGGAGCGGAAAGAGGGACGGTGCAAGGATAAGTCAGAGGTGAGTAGGAAATATCTTAAGGCGCAGCGAACTGGAGCTCTCACATCCAGCGTCACATGCGAGACGGCGTTACAGGAGCAAAAACGAATTACGAATCAAAACGCCAGGATCCACACGCGGGAATACGAAAAACACGGAATTTGGGTTCCATTTGGCTGTTGAGATCCAATCTTAAAATTGCATGCGACAATGGCCTGCTAAAACCATAACAGGGATAATCATATAATATATTATTACTTGCCTGCTTGCAGAAAGATGCGTTAGCGAGAATTCCACCGTTGTTGACACTGCCGCCGCCGCCGCCGCCGCCGCCGCTGCTGCTGCTGACCGCGCTGGCCGGGACTCTAAACTTGAACTCAAAACAGTCGTGCCGTGGATGCGGCAGATCGCGGGTGGGTACCTAGGGAGGGAGCGTTACGAATGCGGTTACGAAGGCAGGTATAGCGGATACGCTGCCGAGCTGGAACCGAAACCTGACCCCAACCGCCAACTACCAACAAACCTTCACACACATACACAGAGAGAGTAAGTGCACGCACACGCCTTTGATGCACACCCCCCCTGATCATCCATCATTCATCATTCACCATCCATCCATGATCATTGGGGAAATCATCACCACGCGTTAATACACGCATGCGTCCCTCCCCCTCCCGCACCCTTCACACCAACCGACCTGGCCCTTCATCTGCACCACTTCCACATCGGAGTCGGATCTACTGTCCTCGCCGCCACCACCTTCATCGGCGTCACGCGCGGCGGCGGCAGCGGCGACGGCGACCCCGCCACCGCAAGCTTCCGCTGCGGCAGCGTCAAAACCGCCCCCGCCCCCGCCACCGCCACCGCACGGGTTGGCGTCGGTAGCTTCCGCGATGGGTACTGCTGCCGGCATTGCGGCGGTTGTTGCCGTCGCCACTCGTCCCGCCACGACACCATGTGCGGCTGCGATGATGGCGTTGATAGCATCTTGGTTATCGGGCTGGTCGGGCGCAGCAGGGGAAGGGACGCTGGGATTAGCCGCTCTGTCTTTAAGCTCGGCTGCTCTGTTTTTGGAGTTGAACGCTCCGTTGTTGTTGGCACCGTTCCTGAATTGGTGTGGGCCCTGCTCCAGGGCCACCGTTCCACCGATAGAAGACATGTGGCCGCCCATCCTGGGGTTAGCTGACCCACGGCGGCCACGTTGTCCACAACCTACGTTTCCCGGACTATTTATTTCGGATTCTTCGCTTTCGGTAGCAGCATCGCCGTCATCGATGCTGCTGTCATCTGAGCTGTCCAGGAGCTCGATGCATTCTGGCTGGGCTGCGACGCGAGCGGCCGCGTGAGCCCGGGCGCGCTTGGGCGAAGGCTGAAGACCCTCAATATCCAGATCGTCATCGCCCGTGAGATCGATTGTGAAGCTGCCGCTCCGGCGCCCTAAATGCGCAAGGCCCGACATAAAATTCAGGGAAGGCAAATGAGTTCCTAGGATTCAAACCATTAAGGTTAATCTTAAAAGGCTTTAATAAAGTGACGCCTCAGAAAACGCCCGTCGAAAATGAAACGCAAGTAACTAACTGAACCATCATTTCACAAGATGTTTTGGCTGCGAAACTTATGGCCTAACAGAGCACCTCATGTGGATGAGTATTGCTTGCATCGGTTAGTCGCGGAGCACATGAAAAAACACAGGGGATCGCCGTACGGTGGTTGACACCCAGTGCCCCTTCTGAGCAAAACATGAGAGCCCGTCCCGCATGCGCGTTTAAGTTCATATAGGTTAACCTGTTGGCTTTGGCCGAAGCCTTTTAGTGCCGACACTGCAAGGATAGTTTGCTGCAACACCCCTCTCGACGCTGAAGCTGTGAGCTTAAGGAAGAATGCGCGGCCTTATGCAAGAAACCCCTTTAAACGTATGCCAGATTCTTGACTACGCTGCCAAATGGCATCCCGAGCAGCTTGTGATATCAAAGAGCGTGGAGGGCCCCGTCCTCTCCTACTCCTACGCGGAGCTTCACAAGCGCGCCCGACTGTGCGCCATCGCCCTGGGGCAGCTAGGAGTCAAGTAAGCGTCTTTCTTCCTACAAAGTTATATCGTATTAGGGGATAAGACAGGCTTTGCCCGGCAGTGTGCCGAGTGCGTCGTTTATCGGCTTTCGCAGCGCAGGAGGGAAAAAATCTTCGCTTGTAGCTATGGAGTTTAAATGCTCAATTTACTAGTCCTATCAGGAGTTCCGCAGCTTAGTTTGTGGTAGCACGCTGTCCAGCTCCATTTACACGTCGGCATGGCAGCTGCTCTTTTGTGCGGTTTTCACTGCACAAAATGCTCATATCTTATAATCCCTGTATCATATAGCTTGCGCCTGGAGGGCCTCGCAGCGAGTCCGTCCTTGTTGGACTTTGCGACAACATGAGTCGGCAAAATTCTATAACTCACAAAAATGAAATAAGAATCGGAACGTAAACATTTTTTTCATAGTACTGGCTTTCTCTTGCACGTCTTTTGTAACGCAGGAAGGGATCCTTCGTGGCTACCTTGGCTTGGAACACGTCACGGCACATGGAAGCGTGGTACGGCATTATGGGTTGCGGAGCGATCTGCCACACGCTAAACCCGCGCCTCTCGGTCAAGGACCTCACCTACGTTGCGCACGACGCCAAGGTAGTTTTTACTGACTCTGTGCAAGAGTCAGTAGCACTTGTTGTTACACCGGGTTTCTAAGCTTCTAAGCCTATAGGAGCAGCCAGCCTGATGCTGCATGAACCGTAGACACTAAAAGGACACCAACTACTCCGTAACGGTACACACATACACACACACCTACAGAACAGCCTCGCCGTAGACTAAGACCGAGGCTAGCACCGATACCGATCGAGGGACCGTAGGCCTGATGCGGCGAAACCATTTAATCGCGCCCCAAAAAGTAAACCATCGTTCTGTGGACTGCTCAATCCGTGATTTGGGCCTGGCGCGCGGCTTCCTGTACCGGTGTACTGGCGCTTGCACCAACCGACGCCCCGTCTCCACCGCGCTAATAACCGCCGAAAGGATGACCGCGTCCCACACACTTTGTGTTGCATTTCCGTCGGAGGCCGCCCCTCCTGCGGCCAAACCTCCCAATGGGATATTGCCCCTGCGGGCGTCCGAGTCGAATGCTTGAGTCGGTAGGAATTCTTTTTTCACGATAAGGCGTGAAAGCCTCGGGACCCCCCTGTGGTACACACATGTCGATATTCGTGGTGGCATATGTTGTATAATATTATATGTGTGGTTTTCGCGCACGCGCTTTCACCGTCGGGCAAGGGCTTACGTCCCGGTGCCGTACTGCTTGCCGTGTCTACATCCGTCGTACAGGACGAGCTGATCATTGCAGATGCAACTATGGTGCCGCTTCTGGAGAAGGTTCTGCCCGGGGTGCCCTCGATCCGTACTGTCGTACTACTGACGGACAGGTGTGTGTTTTTCACTTCGTGGGGAAGCGTAAAAGGCCCCCGGGCGCGGAAGAGATACTCCCCCACACTCCCACGTATCACGTATATATGTATCGATGTATGTATGTATGTATGTATGTATGTATGTATGTATGTGTACGTATGTAGGAAATTTGCCAATAGAAGGTGGAATGCTGCAAAACGGGGAAGGTGCCGACAGTCCGTCGATCCGACAATCCAAATCACACAGTCGGTTGGGTGGTGCATGGTGCATTGTCGGGTATCAACCTTTTACGGAATTCGTACGCGATTCGTACAGCTTTCGTACACTTCCACACAGGCTGAATATGCCGTCCCCGGCTGCCCTGGCTGCGCTGGTGGGCGGTGGTGGTGTTGGCGGCGGCGGCGGCGGCGGTGGCGGCGGGGGGCCGAAAGGGCTGTCGGTGGTGGTCCACTGCTACGAGGACTTGTTGGGGGGTGCAGCTGCCCTCCCTGGAGCGCTGGAGGCGTTCTGTTGGGCCCAGGTGAGCATGAGGGGCCCACCAGGCGAGGCGTACGACACGCACGTGTTTCTTTCTTGTAATCGTTTGCATAAATTGCGCGTGACCGTGTGTGGATTTGGGTTTTATCTGGCCTCCCAGAGGCCAGATTTCCGAGAGGTACCTGGCCAATGCCAGAGGTGGCGCCTCAGTCATAATGGTGCGCATGCTGCGCCCCTTAAAGGATAGGTCACCATCGTACTTAGCCCGTATGCTCTTGTAAGCGTTGCATTCAGCAAAAACGTGCAACTCATCTTCAACCGCTCCGCAGTCACAAGGCCAGCAGGTACGCGCGGTGCGCCCGCGCCCATTAGGGCGATTGACCTCTAACTCCCAACAGCCTAACCGGAAAACGCATGAGCCTGACGCAGGCAGGGCCGCTCCCAACCAGGTCATAAAGCGACAAGTCATTGCTTTAATAAATCCTATCAGGAATGACATTGTAATAGTTCAAGAATTTCGTACCAAATTGTTCGAATATAAAGTTCTCCAACATCTTTTCTACGCCCAATGTGGGGCTCGAACCCACGACCACAAGGTTAAGAGCCTTGCGCTCTACCGACTGAGCTAACCGGGCAAGCTGATGAACAATTGTCGCTTTGAATAGTTATTGAATATGGAGCAACGATAAACATCCTTATGACGACCATTTGAAATGGCTCTTCCCCCAAACCTTCTGATTTTTTCCGTACAATTGGTATGCGGCATGTGCGGCAGGTTGATGAGTACGACGCTTGCGGCATGTGTTATACGAGCGGCACTACCGGCAACCCCAAGGTATACGACACATTGCAAGGGCATTGCCGCTTGCCCGCCGATGTGACCGTACGGTTTGACTCGACCAGGGGGTACAATACTTAGAACCGGTCTCTGACATGGCACGTACATCCGTACACGTTGTTGGGGCACCCTCGAGAGCCGGGCCTTCGGGACATCGCCGGCTTCCGGTTTCTAACTGATGATTGTTGCATATTGCAATTCGCATGGTGTTCGTCACTCGAGGTGGTGGCCGTTTCCCTGGAGGTGACGTGTTTTTGATTTCCCCTCGCTCCCCATGCCGCCCCCTCCCCCGGGGCATAACCGGCCCGGAGGTGTCGCTAAATATTACCTTCCCTTGCCTTGGTTGTCGTACACTATTGTACTGCCGTACTGCAGGGCGTACTTTACTCGCACCGTGCAAATTACCTGCACGCGCTGCTGCTGCTCCAGGTGGGTGCGGGGGAGTGGTGACGTGTCTGTTTGTGTGTCTGTGTACAGCATGTTTGTCGCACACACGCACATTAGTGTGGATGCAAAACCCTGCCGATGAATTGATCAATAGTTTATCATCACGGTGTTTTTGTACCGCCAACACTAGCCAACCCCCCCGGTACGGCAAGTTGCGTCATTGATTTGAAATCCAGTGACAGCCGGTGCCCGGACTGTTGCAAATGTAATGTCTTGCCACCACTCCCCCCCTTCTCTCCCCCCCTTCTCTCCCCCCCTTCTGGGCCCCCAAAACCCCCACACCCCACCACCGCAGGCGGACAGTCTGCCCCTCTCCGCCTCCTCCTGCTGCCTGGCCGTGGTCCCCATGTTTCACGCCAATTCCTGGGGACTGGTGTTCGCGGCGCCGATGGTGGGTGCAAGATTGGTGCTGCCAGGTACGTTTGTGTATGTGTGTGTATGTATGTGTGTGTGAGGGGGGACGTTCCTGGGGATTACCGGGCTAAGGGCCGGGAAGCCGGCTCCTAAAAAGTAGCGTCATTCACATCAGCGGGTAGTGGAAAGGAAAGTGAGTGTAGTCCCCCCCGAACCCCCCGGGGGCGCATGCCGCCACCCCCGTAGTCTCACAGCTGTACGGCATCCATGACAGCTGGACTTGACTCAAGATATGCCCTCCCCCATGCGTTGCTGGTTGTGTGTGTGTATGTATGTATGTATGCATGGTTCTGCACCTTTCCGCCAACCTCCGGCACCATCCGGTATCTAACCCCCAGGATTCGTTTTCTCGTCTCCTCATTCCTCCCCCTCGATTTCCCCTCGCAATCCCGCTCCTTAAACCCCCTCCCTCCATCCCCCCAACCCCCTTCCCCCCTCCCCTCCCACTCCCCCTTCCCTCCACCGCACCCGGGGCCGCGGGGCTGTGGGTGCTCCGTGATAAGGCCCCCATCTGGACGGTGCCTCCATCTACTCCCTGATGGAGACGTACGGCGTTACCGTATCAGCCGGAGTACCAACCGTATGGTTGGCGCTATTGTCGTACTGCGAGGAGCACGGTCTTACATTATCCACCCTCCGTATCGCGTGTATTGGGGGAGCGGCGGCGCCGCTGAGCATGTTGGAGGCGTTTGAGATCAAGTATGTGGTGGCTGCGATTCATCATATGTCAGGTTGTGCACTGACGTACGACATGTCCTGAGACAGTCGTACATCCCCTGATACAGGACCTTGAGAACGTTTTCCCTCTCTTCCCCATTCTCTTTCCCCAATCCGAATTTTCCTTCCACGCGTGATAGGCCCTTGTACCTCCCCCCGCCCCGCCCTGCCCTGCCCTACAACCGTGTTCAGGTTAGAAATAAACGTCCCACCCCACCCCACCCCACCCCACCCCGGCCCCCGTTGAAGGGACTAATGGGCAGCTGGTAGTCCCCAAGACGTCGACAGTTGAAGTCCTTTGCTTGCATGCATTTCTCCCCCTCGCGCTCTCCACCCTTCCAAACGCCCCCAGAGCCCACCCCGTGTTTTTCGTCCTTGTATTCGCTATATCTTTTATTCGCTTAAAATATTTCCGAATAAAATATTTCCGAATAAAATATTTCCAAATAATATTCTCCCCCTTCGCTCCACGCCTCGCTGAACAGACACGGTGTGGAAGTACGGCACCTGTGGGGTATGACCGAGCTGACTCCCCTGGGTACGGTAGGCAATCCCAAACCCGCATCTACCGGCGGCCGTACACGGCCTGCCAGCGGCCTCGCCGCCACGTCATCGCCCTCGCCATCCGCCGCCGCCGCCGCCGCTTCTTTCCGTACTGCCTACCTGGGTGCCAAACTGAAGCAAGGTCGGCCCCACGTGCTGTGCGACATGCGGATAGTGGACGATGCTGGGCGGGAGCTGGCGCACGATGGCAAGACGGTGGGGCATCTGCAGGTGAGGTGCGTGTATGTATGTATGTGTGTAGGTGTGTGTACGTATGTGTGTGTATGTGTGTGTATGTGTGTGTATGTGTGTGTATGTGTGTGTATGTGTGTGTATGTGTGTGTATGTGTGTGTATGTGTGTGTATGTGTGTGTATGTGTGTGTATGTGTGTGTATGTGTGTGTATGTGTGTGTATGTGTGTGTATGTGTGTGTATGTGTGTATGTGTGTCTATGTGTGTGGCAGGGTAAAGGGAGGGAAACTAAGAGAAGGAAAGGGGAGAGAGAGAGAGGGTTGGGGGCGGAAGGGAGGGCTTGAGTGGAGGTCTCTTTAGGAGTTGTTATCAGTGTGCTTGTGTGTGTGTGGGGGGGTGCGTTCCCCGTACCTGTGGTGTGTTTTTCTGTGTTTGTATGCATGTTTGTTTGTTTGTTTGCATTTCTTGATAAGACATGAATCACCCTTTTCAAATGAGTGAAATTCGAAACGGGTCGAACGGGAAGAGGCAATCCGTACGGAGGCTGCAAAACAATTTTGATAAAGAAAACACACTCACACATACACACACATTCTTGCAACAGATATGGCATTTTATCCAACAGAGGCACACATTTGAATTCACACGAATCTCCATCCGTACAATCACAACTGTGTCGTACACATATCCGTACATATATTCGTACATTTTACTTACAACATTCTTCCGTGCACACAGGTCCGTGGGCCTGCGGTGGTTGCCCGTTACTTCAAGTCCGACAAGTCTGCGGTGAACGGCGACAACTGGTTCCCCACGGGGGACGTAGCCTCCATCGACCCCTTGGGCTACATGACCATCACGGATAGATCCAAAGATGTGATTAAAAGTGGTATGTACGGAAGGTGTATACGGCAGTACGACAAGTGTGCCAACGAACGTCGTCATCCCCTTGTATTTGGGCTTCTTTTCTTTTAGGGTTTTAGGGTTTTGTTGCCTCTCCTCACTCGACCCCCGTTTCCCCCTTCCACGGTTTTGCTCTGTGTATCAACCCCCCAGGCGGGGAGTGGATCAGCAGCATCGAGATTGAGAACCTCGCGATGGTGGGGGAAATACTGTACTGATGTGTATCGGTGTGTACATGGAACACAGATGTGTATTGAACTGCCGTGCAGTTTAGTCGCAGCTGTGCAGTTCGGTGAAGTTTGGTTGAAACTCGATGAAGTGCACTAAAACCTAAAACCGAAACATGTGGCCTCAAACCTAAACCTGCCTAAACCCTAAAACCCTAAAACTTTAAAACCCATGTAGGGCTGCTCTGGAGTGGCGGAGGCTGCAGTGATCGCCATTCCAGACGACCGGTGGGGCGAGCGGCCGCTGCTAGTGGTGGTGCCACGTCCCGGGTTCGAACCCGACGCGGAACTGCGAGATTCCATTCTCAAGTACCTGTCCGAGCGATTGGCCAAGTGCGTGGTTCCCTACGTCCTTGTGTTTGTCCGCCTGCCCGACCCAGCCTTGCTGGCCGACTATCAGTCTGTGTGTGTATGTATGTATGTGTGTGTGGGTTGTAATGATCTGTATATATGATGTGTGAAACAGGGGGGTGTATCTTCGCCCGTGGCAGCTACCCTGCGAAACCCTGCCTTCCCCGGTATTTCGGGGCACCCTCATCCAGTCACCCTAGTCAACTTCTCAGTGGATCGCTCAGGTTCCGCACCCACCACCAGCATCCAACGGAATCTGCCGGGTCGACAGCGGCCCAACTCCGTTCCTGGTCGGCTCGCAGGTTAACTTTATCCCAGGTCACCACCGTCCATCAACTAGGGGCGCAATGCCTTCCACCATCGGAAGGACTTTGACCCTAACGGGTATCGATCCCGGGATCTCCCGGGGGCAATGGTCGCGCCTTACCAGTGGTGCCAAACCCTCTATGTATGTATGTATGTATGTATGTATGTATGTATGTATGTATGTATGTGTGTGTGTCCTCCTGTCCTCCTGTCTTTTGTTTGTCGTATTGGGTTGAAGGGTTGAAGGGTGCTTATAGGCGATATGCTAAATAGGAAACATGCCTGCCAGCACGCCTGCATCAGTGAGCTACAGGAGGTGAATTTGCCTCCTGGGTAGCCAGAAGTGAAGAAAGAAGAAACACACCCTTCCACTCTTCATATTCCCCATGTACATATATCTGACACATATAAAAAAGTGTGTACCACGCTGCGGTCCCTACGTGCCCCTACATGACTCCGAAACCAAGCCAGTCTAGCCAACCTCCCCTTGCGTCACCCTCCACCACCTCCGGGTGGCCGCCTCCAATCCGCTGCGTCGCCGCCATGACGGTACACGCAAGGCATCCAAGCGAGCAGATTAGCTGACAGATATACGCACATACGCTGGGTCACACCTTACCTGCACTTCACCAACCCTACACACACACACATCCCCCCCCACCCCTACACGGCCCCCCACCCCCCTACACACACGGCCCTTCACACACACACACACGGCCCCTCACACACACACATCCCCCCACACCCCTACACGGCCCCCCACCCCCCTACACACACCCCCCCCACACCACCCCCCTCACACACACATATCCCCCCACACCCCTACACGGCCCCCCCACCCCCCTACACACACCCCCCCCCACCCCCCCCCACACACACATACACACACACCCCACAAACGCCCTCACATCCCCGCTGACCCACGCAAACGCAACGCAGGGCCCCGGCGTTGCTGTCCCCGCCATAACGCAACGTTGGCTCCCCATATACCCTCACTATGTCACCAGTAAGGAGCCCCATGTCACATGTGTGACATGTCACGTCGTGTGTTCACGCAATGTGCACATGCGCAGGTTCGCTGTCCCCGACGACGTGGTCTTCGTGCCCCAGATTCCCCACAACGCCACAGGCAAGGTGTCCAAGCTCACACTGCGGGACATGTTCAAACACCACCGCGCACCGCCGCGCCCCAAATTGTAATTTCGTTGCGGCGGTTTCAATATCTTCAAATTGCACAGGACAGCAACTTGTCTTTTGTTTTAAGACAAGTTGCACTTGTGCTTGTAGTTTTGTTTATTACCACTGTTTTTGTTGGAAATGACCGACACTCATACACCAATGAATGGTAACCACAGTAATAGGGCCCGGCGGGGGTACGGCGCTTTAACAGGGTTTTAACAGTTTTCGCACACAGCTGTACATGTTATAATCTGGGTTGAAGAATGAATCGACGTTCTGCTGCTTGAGCCCGGGGTTTATTTAGCTCCTGTATGTATGGTACCTAATCGCTGTATCGTATCTTGTGTGTCGTATAACGTACGGCTGCCGTATTTTACATATGCGTTGTGGTGCGTGACAATCAGAAGGAACGAAGGGAAAAAAGGACAGCAGGTTCGCTGAGTCAGCGTTTTGTACTTGTTTTGACCAGAGGGTTGCAGAGATTGGGGACTGGGGGCAGGTACTGGTCAGGCGGGATGGGGAATAGGGTTGACGATGTCAGGATGGGATGTGGGGCCCAAGGCAAGGATTAGGGATTAGGCGTGCTACACTACTTTTGGGATGGGGATTGCTGTCGGGGGTGAGGATGGGGATGGGATCCCTGTCTGAGGGATGGGGATTGCAACCTTGACCAAGGAGGGGATTGGGAGCCCTGGGCAAGGATAGGGATGGGACCCTGGTCGACAGGACGGGGATTGCAGGCTTTCGCAAGTTTAGGATGAGCTCGCTGCCATAGGATTGGGAACACAGTTGGAGGATTAGGATTGGGTGTTCTGCTGTAAAATGAGGCTGCAGGTGCAGAATTGGGAATACTGACAGGACTGCAAAACAGGCAAGGATGGATGGTTTAGTTGTCCATAGTTGCTTCCATGGTGTGCTGCTGTCACTTGTGGTGCATCTTACAGCGTCTGGTGAAAGTGTTAAAAAAGTGGTGGTCAAAGCCAATACCAAACATGCACGTTGTCGTGGTCGATTTTGCTCACACACTCACACACTCATGGGTCAGTCAGCAATATGGTAAACCAAACACCGAGATATCTATCTTCACAAAGCAAGGCACCCCTGCCCAACAGCACCATAATCAGCTGTCCAGGTATAGCCCATGCCCATGTTCACCAGCACCACAACGGGCCTCACATCCCCCACTTGACACACATGAGCACATCTCACCAAAAGCGGCCCGTCTGCCAAAAGCGTGGCCACCATCAGTGCATGCATCAACATCAGCCATCTCGCTAGGCCGTCATGCATTCAATTGTTTGACCTGTGCTTGCAAGTCGTGTCCCATAGCAAACCAAACTCAAACCCTAAGGAACTTCTATGAGTTGGCAGCACCGAATCTAGGCTGGGGAGTCTAACAACAGAGTCGTCCATGCATTTCTTGCTTCACACCAAATGCCAGCGCTGGCACTCATTGCAAACAACAACACACACAACAAATAGGGCTTTACTAATTTAATTCATGCAGGGTTACTCCCCTCCTCGCCCCCTACCGTCGGAGGACAGGCCTGACATGTGCCCACGAGTTCATGCCTGGCACGCTCCCAATGCGGCTAAACAAGGTGGCAAACCTTTCAACGGCAGGGCCCATATAGGCAATGACACTGCCGTGTGGATTCAGCGCACGGGCTCCCCATTGAAGCTCATCACTAGTGCCCACCTGCCGGACGAACGAAAGGCGCTCCCGGAGAAAGCACACTGGCCAGTTCAGCACATCATTGAACCAGCTGCAGCCAATACCTGCCTTCAATAGCACCACGGCCTGCCTCACATTCCCCGCCTGATACTCCCGCTTGCATCTTCCAAAAAATAGCTCTTGGAGGCTCTGCCCTCTCCGTACACCAAAAGCAGGGTTGAGAAACACATTCCCTCGCCATGCATTGCCCTCTGCCAGTCCATCCGTCGCCTCATCGTAAAAGGAAGTGGCCCGGACCCGCGTGTTTGCAGCGGCACAAGAACACGGGTCCAGGTCGATGCAGCCTGGTGTGAACAGCTCACGCACCAGGTCCAAGATGAAATCTGGTGTGTACCATTCACATGTATCACTTCGCGTGATCACCGGCAGGCCGCCATACTGCAGCGACAACGCATCCTCATGCCTCGTATCACCATCTGCAGCCATGGGTGTGGCATCAGATGGTGCGGCTACAACATCTGAATCCGCTGAGACATCATCAGCCGGAGACCCGTTGACCTCCCTTAGACATTCACGTACTAGTCGGCCACTGACACGTGCACTTTCCGGTCCACCAGCCCGTTCTAGTGCCAGCACCCATACCTTCAGCTGGACATCAGGATGACAGCCCACCAATGGCCGCACCTGCCTCTCATTGCTTGGGCGGGCTACATCTGCCGGGAGGTTTCGTATGACGCGTGCCGCTGCAATCAGGTTCCTGGCCTGGCGCAAGCCAAACCCAAGCACTGCCGAAGATTTCCTTATGTAGTCTTGAAAACTGGCATGCCCCGCGAAGCTGTACAGCTTCCCCTCGGCGATTTCTAACATTGCTAGACTCGCCTCTGCAAAATAAGCCGGAGCAGCCCTGGCCACACGTCGCTCAGCAGAAGCCAAGGCGTTGCCTTCTCCTGTACCAGCTCTGCCCAAGGAAGCCCTGCAAACCCGCAGTGCAAGACAAGCCAGCATTACATCCCGGAGTTGTATCATGCCAAGGCGACGATTGCGTGCACATGACAGCATTCTTGGCATGTTAGATGCGCACTGTCAACTCAAAACGATAGTTCAGGTCATGCTGCTTGCAGAAGATCACGAGCTGCTGGGGGCGGCCATGCATGATGACCTTTGAGCAAGTCGTTTTGCAGAAGCAACAAGTGATAATCTTGTGTTTCTTATGGCACTTGGGGCAGCACACCCACCGTTCAGGAACCCCATCTTTGCCAACAGAGTGTGCACCCGGCTCCTTCTCCTCCTCCTCCTTCTCCTTCTCCTTCTCCTCCTCCTTCTCCTCCTCCTCCTCCTCCTTCTCCTCCTCTTCCTCCATGCCCTCAGACTCTGAGTCGATGGCCACCTCATTGCCGTCCCTTGTCATATCATCACCGGCTGAGCCCTGTGCCGTGGCCACTGCTGCCAGGGTCCCAAACTTCCATTGGTATGGGCGTAGGCATCGACCTAAAACAAGACACATTGCAAAGAGTGCATGAGTCAGATAAAGTATACCCTGTAGTGGTTGGTCAGTCCTGTTCAGTCCTGTTCAGCAAGCGGTGAAACACATTTAGGCTGAAGTGGTTCTTACCGCCAGCCACGGTCTTCACTGACGCCAAGTCCACCAAGCCTTCTGCAGCCAATGCTTCGGCGGTGGCGGCATCGGTCGACTGCCCGATGGGGTCCATCCCACGCGTTTCCACGAGGACGTCGGCCAGCTTTTGACGCTTCTGCAGAAGGTTAACACCATTGGGCATAGAACAGGCATGGAACGCGACTAGGTGTAAATGTGAGCAGAGTGCACCATTGGCGCACACTCTGCCAGTTCTTCAGTCAGACGCAGTCCAACCCCGTTCTTACCTTGTCCGGCCCATGCACATCCACATCCAGGGCACCATCGGGTACCATACTGGAAGAGATAACAAACAGTCGTCGCGCTGTTACTAGCTTGCGCTTAACAAGGTGGGCGTCTTCCAAGACGAAGTTTGGAACACTTTGAATAAGACCCGAACGTCAGTGTGTAATCTGCAGACCCTACTGGGGGACAAGTCCGCAGGAGGCGTATTAACAAGCTGGCCGCATCATGCCGTACCGCATTCCCAAGCCAGTATGCACAATTCTGAGAAAGTTTATTGTTTTGTTGTGGCACAACTCCACGTAACTCTGCACATGCGATAAAATGTCTTAGTGCATAGGAGCAATTCTTGCGCAGAAGTCCAAGTCGACTCACAAGCATTCCAATTGGAATGCCTGGCTTAATGTAATGTTATCAGGTTGTTTGTCGTAGCGCTTTGGCGCACCCAACGTGGAATGTTGGCGCCGGACTGTGCAGCTGAACACCTGTGCTATGGTGAACCAATCGTGCACCCGTTCTTTCGCCATCATCAGCACGTTTCCAGCCATGGGCATTTTGACAGAACACCCTTGTATGTTCTGCCATTCTAACCACAGCATTATAATTTGTTGTTGTGGCCATCCATCGAACATAACAATCCTTCCTCCGTTAGGACGCGCTATTTGCACTAGCAGCCAGTGTGCAAATAGATACGTAGACCTCTGTGCGGCGAGTTCTTCCTCGGCCGAGATCCGCTTCAACGAGCGTTTGTCGCTTCAGTCTGCTTCGGAACGAACACAGCCGGGCTCTCCCCGGGCGATCGGCGCAGCCCTCGGGTCACTCAATTACATCACAGGTCAAACCACCGACGGCGATCGGACGGAAGGCGTCTTTCCTGGCAGCCTCGACAGCTCGCAGCTCCTTCATCAGAGACTTGCTGCTCTGTCCCGGTGTCCGAGGTCGGTCCTGCATATGAACACCTTTACGGCTGCGCACCGCGAGGTGTCCTTCACTCCTCAGATATCGCAGCCGCCTGTCGTGGAGACGCCTGCTTGCATAGTCAATGTGGTGAACTTGAGGTACGGCAGGGAGGGGAGGGGAGGGGAGTGCCTTGGCTGCAGTTCCATCAGGCACACAAGGCCTACTGTGTTCATAAGGTCTGAAAGCTTAACGGTGCTCGCCCAACACAGGATATGGTGGCACGGGGGGCCAAGCTTCCTGCTTTTGTGGGTGAGCAACACTGCCTTCGTGCGGTGCTGTGCTCTGTGGCTGCCAGGCCAGTTGGGAAGCCGTGTCCTGCGTGCGCTGAGCTGTTTTAAAGCATGATGTGCACCAGCTTTTAAGCGCAAGGGCACGCGCGCAGCATTCCGTTATGAGAATGCCGCACGGAACATTATTCCAGCATCCAGCGACATGTGAGCATCCGGGAGCTCGGCCACTTGGAGCTTGTTGCACATCTTGAAGCCACGCTATCGGAGCTGTAAGTGTGCCACCAAAGTCTAAATAGACTCCAGCTCACGCGCGACATGGACCAGCTTACCGTGAAGATGCTCGGCTGTGAGAAGGAGCTGCGAGAGCAAGCCAAACAGCGGGGGGAAGGGGGCAGGAGCTGACTGCTCTTCTTGAGACATATGGGCTAACATGACAGGGGAGACGGACGGGGACGGACTAGAAAATGGATGGGGAACAGTGTAACACTGCAACTGAGTCGTCAAATGCTTTGTGTCCTCGATGTTACTAAGGGTTTAGGGGTTTGCATCAATGGTGCAAGTTAGGTCCTAGATGTTGCTGCCCGCGTGTCGCTCTAATCCTGCCCATGTGATGATCAGGCTTGGTGGCACCTGGTCGTAGGTGCGGCTCACGACTTCAAGTTGGAGTTGGCTCAGCACTCGAGCAGCTCCTGCTGGGCATTGCAAAGAGCATCCACACAGCACGGCGCGGCGCTTCAGCTCAGCAGAGGTGCGGAGGTAGAATTCTACACCACGCTACTGAACCTTGGCGGTCCGCTGGTGTGTTCAAATTCGTGTCAGACAACCTGAATGGACCCTGTCTGCGCACGAGGGTTCGAGGAGCACGCGTCAGCTCACCCTACTCCCGACTTGACTCGGTCCATGAAAATGTACAGCAAGTAAGTGCTTGGGATGATATCTCTTAGTAACCCTACTGTGCAAGGTACAAGTTCCGCACAATTGCAGGGGTGTCCGTAAAAGCCTAGGGGGGCCCCATACATGATGAATCAGTATCGATGCAGGTTTGCAGAGGACAGGCGTTGTCCTCCCTCGTCCACTTCAGGGTGTTTCCGATTTGTAAGAGGAACCTGCGGGGGGGGGGGTATACACAGGGGCTGGAGGTTTGCAGCAAGTACAACACCAGCAAGATACCTGTCATGATATGTGAGGATGCCAGTGCAGCCACTCCACGGCTTGACGTAGCACACCGCGACGGGGGATACTTCGTCTACGGCATGTGTGGTGGTTTGGTGGAGGTCAAGTCGGTTGAGCAGCTGCAGGATGAGCTGCTGAAGCGTGGGCTCGCCAAGTCACTGTACGTGCATGTTATGGTTCCCATGCACTCTGGGAAAGGTTTTCACCCGTAGATTCATGTTTACCCGTAATCACGTGGTCTACACATGTAATTACCGGCCAAGAAAATTTGTAAACATGCTTATTTTTAAGTTGCCAAAGCATTCCTTTTATAAGGAAGAACATAGGTGACATTTTGTTGGTTGCCCGTGCTGGAAGTCATCCACAGGTTACATTACCCGTAATCACAAGGTCTTGACCCGTAATCCCCCAAGCCGTAATGCACAGCACCCGTTAAATTTCACGGGCTTAATTGCGACGAAGACGTGTTATGCAGCATTCCTTGCAATTGGACCTCGGTCATCTTGGCTTTGTGCTGAAGCAAGCTCATCCTAATAACTGGCAGTGTTCTCGGTGTAAAGCTTATACATGTCAAAGGCGGCGTGATGCTATACGACATGCCAGACATTGCGTCCTTCGGCAGACCCAAGCCCAGTCTCCAATAATTGTAGAGCATCCGCAGCCTTCACCTTCTGCCGCTGTTCCGCCGCTTGAGATAGATGAACCGTTAGTAGACCAGCACGTCCAAGACCAGCACGTGCATCCATTCTTAGCCCCCAGCCCAGTAGCTGCCGTTGAGGACCTTGAAGGCCAGAACGATGTTGCCCCTCAGTTGGTAGAGCCGTATCCTTTCCAACATGCAGCAGCTGCGCTCTCAGCTGCCGAGGATGGCGTCGATGTGGACTTTGATGCCGCTCCTGTCTTGCAATTTGTGGATGGTGAACTGGCTGGTGCGTTATGCTATGTATCGGCAACTGTGCATGTATGGCAGCTGCCCCGTGCCAATGTAACCCTCTCCCGCATGTGCCTTGGCTTACTCGGCTTGTTTGCACTTTGCACAGGCCTGCCACCGGATGCTGGACATCAAAGTGATTCCGACGCAGAGCAAGTATGTCCCGAGGGCCCCTTGATTGACGACATAATTGAGTTGGTGGGCACCCAGGACCCCTGGGAACTGGTCGCTGAGGCGCCCACCCCTACAGAGGAAGAAGATGTGAACCCCGAGGCCTTGGAGTCTCCTGCGCTTCCGACCTGCTACTGTGGCTGTACACACCCCTACACCCATCCTGGCACACTCCCTTACTTCACCCAGCACCTCGATGCACCTTTGTGGTCGGTATACGACCCACTGCTGCCGAGGGGGCCGCCCATCCAGCGATGCAAGTGGACCCTGCGGGACTCAGTGAACGCCGTGATAGGCCACATGAGGGAGCACGTTCCTCGCCGTGGCGAACTGGAGTCTGTGTTGCAGCTGTACGCGTCCATGTTGCCAGAGCGCTACGTTCTCCCTACATCCCTGTACATGATCAACCGCCTGGCAGGCGTCCGCAGCTGGTCAGATTTCATGGTGCACGTCTGCAGTGCTGAGGGGTGCCCCGGTCACGTGTATGGCAGGCCGACAGGGTCGCTTGAGGAGCATGGCGACAAGTGCCCGCACTGCTCTCGCCCTAGGTACTCCTTGAAGGACATCGCGGGGCGCGCTGTCTGGGAGCCAGTGCACTGGTTCATCTACTTTGGCGTCGAGGAGGTGGTCCGTACGGAGTTCTTCACCAACCCACAGTTCTGTCGGGAGCGCGGGCAGTTCCGTGGGGATGCAACCCCTGGCTCGTCCCAGTGGCAAGGTGGGCCGGGTGACCATGGCAGGAAAGGGCGAGCCGTTGGTAGCCGTTTGCATTTCGCCGCACCTGTTCAAGGGGTTCCACAATGCACCCTCACTTCGTTCTCCAGCCCTTGCATCATTGTAATCGTTGTAAGCAGGCATGGGGGTGCAGCAAAAGGGGAGTCTCGCAATCAAATCCCATGCTTTTTTAGCTATTGCCGCCGTGATTACCAACCGTCGGCTGTACCTGGTCCCAGGCTGACGAGATGTGCCCTCTCTGGCCCTTGCCTTATGCAGGCGAGTGGGTGGAGTCGCTGAAATCCTACGCTGGCGGCATAGCCCTGCACTCAGACAGCTCTATCTATGACATCGGCATCGACTGGATTGCACCCTACAACTCTACACAGCACAGTATTGGCATCCTGTTCATCCGTTGTGCGGACATGGACCCCCGTAACAAGGGCAAGATCTGGAATCAGCATGTCATCGCCATCATCCCCGGCCCCAGGATGCCGTCTGTCCTCCACCCCTACCTCCAGCTCATCGTCGACGACCTCCTCCACCTTGCCAGTGATGGCATGCGTGTCTCACCTGCTGCTGCGCCTGCCAATCCGGAGGCTGCAGAGGGTGCTGCAGCTGGTGGCCAGGCTGGGCGCGGTGGTGCTGGAGGGACAGCTGTGGGCGGCATGGCTGACGGGCAGGCGCCTGCTGATGGTGACCTCCGGGGCATGCGGCCCTTTCAGCACCGGGTATTCCTGGGCCAGGTGCTTGCAGACACACCCGCCAGGGCAAAGGTGGCATGCAGCAACGGCCAGAACAGTCGTGTCGGCAGCTGCACATGGTGCCTATTCGAGGCACACATGGAGGCCAATGTCGGGTGCGGGGCCACCGTGCACTTCCGTGGCTTCACCCAAGCAGTCAGCCAGCACTTCGTAAAGCGGAATGCAGGCAAGAGCCTGAAGGTCGGCGCCCGGGCTCTCAAGAAGACCCATCGGCATTTCGTCAGCGTGGGCGGTGTCATGCAGGCGATGTACAGGATGCTCCACCTTGGGGCTCCACACAAGATCACGCAGAAGCAGTTCGACGAGGCGGCGCTTCAGACTGGGTGCAAGGGCCTGACTGCCTTCGCGGCCCTGCCGTACGTCGACCTGTCGTGCCTCTTCATCGTCTCCACCGGCCATGCCCTGCTGTTTGGAGTGGTCAGCGACTTTGTGGACTACGCGCTGAGGTCGCTCAATGACATCAAGCCAGCAGACCCAGATGCCAAGCTGGTCATGTCTCGTGAAGCACGCCAGCGGGTCACGGCCCGCGGCCAGTTCCTGGTCGTGACTTCGGACTTCGGGTGGCGGTACAAATGCATCATGCAGTACCGGTGAGCACGGCCAGCACTGGGCAGCCGGCCACACACGGGGGTCGCTAATAGCCGAGAAAGCAAATACGACCAGGGGCTTGCCTGAAAAAAACACCTTCATCTGTCGAAGAGTTTGCTACTCTAGCTCTGTAATGTACTTCTTCTAGTTACACGGTTGCTCGCCACACTGCCCCCCTCCACCCATGCAGCAAGAGCTACCGCATGGAGGACTGGCTGCACTTCGTTGAGACGTTCTCCAGCTACATCTTCAAGGGGGACGTGCTGCCCGAGGCCTTGTGGGCCCTGTGGTGGAGCCTGTGCAGCACAGTCACGCACTACTTCCGGCTGCGGCCCCCCGATGAGACCCGTGAGCAGTTCCTGGTGGCAGCCAAGGCGGCTGCATGCAAGCTCAGAGCTTACACGACCAGGCTGGAGGAGTTGGAGGTGCCGGGCTACATGTTCACGGTCAACCTGCACATCTGCGTATGCCGGCTGTATGACCAGGAGTGCCAGCTTGGGTCCACGGCAGGGTTCTCCGACCTGCCGGTGGAACGCATGATGCAGCAAATGAAGACGCAAGGCAGAAGGATGGTGTCGCAGGCACCCGCGAAGCACTACACGCAGTGGCTGTGCCTGATGCGGGCCTCCCAAGTCGCTCACCGAGGCAGACCCCCCGACCGGGGCCAAACGCACGACCAACCAGCAGCTTGAGAGGATGTTGGCACGGCGTGCGGTGAACACCGAGGCTGCCTGGTTTGACAAACCAGGAGCCAACGGTTACCTGCTTGGACGAGGCCACACGGTCTACCCGAGTCCAGAGCCTAGTGCACTGGTACACCCTGGCATTCGAGGATGTGGCTTCCTGGACATTGGGTCCCAGTGCGAGCTACGAACTGGACACGGACCGCCTGGATAGGGTTCTCACGTCTACACCACCCGACTGTCCCAAGGCCCGCTCCTTTTTGCGTGCTGAGGCACTCAATGAGGAGCAGTACTTCGGGGCTGAGTACGGGCGCCAGCAACAGCGGACCTCCTGCTGGGCATGCTACCAGGTAGAAGTCGGCAATGCATGCTACCAGGTAGAAGTCGGCAATGAGACTCGGACGTATGCGGCCTACCTCAAGTACTTCGTCCACCTGCCCGTGGAAGACGGCGCTCAGGATGTCCACTTCACTGTCGCAGATGTGTACTCGGGACAGGTGTTCAGCAGGGGGCTGGTGGTGGTCAACATGGCGGCCACCCAGACAGCGAGGGCAGGCAGCCAGTGGGAGATGTGGCAGGACCTAGGGCTGCCGCTAAGCGAGCTGAAGGGCAAGTTCTGCACAGCCGCCCTGGAGGGGGACCAAAAGGGGCTGATGTACTTCATGCCATACACACACTTCACCAACCGCTGAGCAACCGCAGCAACGAGGCCGATGGATGTGCCCTTGTCTGGCTGACAACGAATGACTACGAAATTTATCCCATGCACATGTGCAACAGATGGCACGCATGTATGTACATATGCAGGTGTATATGCGTGAAGGCACACTGGCAGTCCATATGCCCGTATTGAATTTCGGTTCAGTACTCAAATGGCTTCACATTCTGCATTGTTGGAAAGAGTACCGACAGTCTAAGGCGCGAGGCAGACACCGCCACAGCAGTATCAGCGGGACTAGTACGACTGGTTGCCGACTATCCAGTTCACTTGATGTGCGCTTGCTGGTCACAAAGTGGACGGCGCCCACATTTCAAAGGAGTGGCCCAGATGCGCCATCCCCTATAACAAACACGGTTGTTCCAAAAGGGTTACAATTGTGGCCGAAGTAACGCACATGTCAGCCATCATTGTCGCCTGCGCCTTCACTTCCATTTGTTTCTTCTCCACCCATGCCACCAGCTTCTCTACCGACAGCACATTCCCCTCCGAGCATGCAGTCGTCGAGCAGATACAGTGTATCCTTCTGCAACCATCCTTGAGACTTGTGCCGGTATGAGCCGGCTGCCTTGTAACCCTTTTGGAACCACCCAGACCACACAAAGGGTTTAAGACAACAAGCCTCCCACTGGGTATTCACCCTAATCAGCCCTGGCAGTCGGTACTCTGAATTAATGCGACACACACGTGAACCCGCCCCCTCCATCGTCAATCCCCATCATCACAAGGCCACCTGAGTTGCCACCTTAAGGCAAGCTTGCGTATGGCCCTCTACAAGACGGGGTCCCGGTGAGGTCAGCCGCCAGTAGCTCCTTGTACCCAGGGCGGGAAAACACCTTGGGGTAGACGGGGCCGAATATTAGCGAAGCAGTCTCTACCCACAGAAGCCCCTCAATGAGCATGCCGGTGGGCCACTCACCATACGGCTCGGGTGCGATAAACACATCTCTGAGTCGAGCAAGACCCCACCGCCCGTTGAAAGGGTTGAAAACGACCATGCTCTTCTCGACCTCGTCCGCAGACAAGGTGGGGAGCCGTCTGCGCAACTCCTGCTCCTTTCCCTCATAGGACAGGAGGAAATAGAGCTGGCTTTCCTTGACGCTCCCCCCGTACACATCTTTTAGGCTCGGCACCGTAGCTTTCACCCACCCACCAGGAACCGCTCCCTCAGGGACACAGTAGACGGAGTACACCTTCAGCTTCATAAACATGAAGTCCGTTTACCGCCGTCACCCGGCAACTTGAGGGAAGTCCCCAGGGTGGCATTGCGCGGCAAGACATACTTGTGTCCAAGCGGGCCTCCAATCACCGAGCCCCTGGGGCAGACCCAGAACTGCGACGAACTGCGACGAACTGCGACGACCATCGACGACCTGCTGATACTGATGCTCTGCCGTCCCGATAAGAAGCTGATGAGTTCGAATCATCTGCAGTGATCGCACCACAAGCGACCAGCAGGGATACACAGAACAGATTGAACAGCGAAGAGAAACGAAGATCCACGCGAACCTCGCAGGGATAGTACTGATGGCGAGCTGGCGGTATTCTAGTATGGGCGCCGTACTTAAGGGAACGAGCCGAAACTTGACCAGGTCTGCGGAAACTTTTCGGAAAGCTGCGAAAACTAAAAAATGAATATGTAACGATGTTTTTTTAGCTCTTCTTAGTGTGGCGATAACATGGACAGTCTGAAACCAGCTTGTGGCAGTGCGGTTCTGTCCGGTGGGATCTAGAATCTGGTGGATTCCAATCGTGCTCGAAGGTAGAGCCATCTAAACGTATTACTGGGGGTGGCGGGGGCCAAGCGATCAACTATTGTGTGCCCACACCCTTGACGGTGTTCACCCTGCCCCCTTCAAGCAGCCCGCCTCTCTTTGAACCCTGAGACCCCAGGCCTGAGCAGCCCTATCGTATACCACCCCCATAGTGTTGTTGGCTGACGGATTGCTCTGGGATGCTCTGAAATTGCCACTCGTATGTTACATGGGTAAGGGCCCGGGGAGCCCTGAAACACTGAATAATAATCTTCTCCCTGTCCGTTGCGGAGCAGTGACATGTCTGCATGCCTACTCCACCTACCCGTCCGGCATGTCTGCATGCCTCACGGACAAGTAACTGTGAATTAATCCAGTAATCGTCCAAACAACATGAATTCAAAATAAAAAAATCAAAAGGAATAAAAAAAGCGAGAGGGCTAAAGTATCTAATAATGGCACCGCACAACGATAACTGCAACGACGTGGCTCTGTTTAACTTCAACCACGTTTACGGACATTGTGGAATCAATTATCAAAAACCCTTCTTCTGAGCAGAAACACAGTCAATCTCTATGACTTCGGCAGCCCCCAGGTCGGGGCCAGTGGTTGTTGACATTTGACTTAATCTAATAACTCCATAGTGTAAAACGTAGTCTTTAAATGGCAAACGCATGCCTGGAATCAGGGATGCGACCGTATTCCATATTAATACGCCAGCTAATACGCCCGTATTAATACGCCGAATACGCCAGCCAGTTGGGCGTATTGTCGGCGTATTGTTTGTCGTTGGGTTGTCGTACAGTCTGAAAACTCGCCGATTTTGAGAAATATCGAGCTATTGACATTCCCGAGTCATTGGTGTAATTAGTTCATACTTAGGATTAGGTTTTAGGGTTTGCTTATCACTGGGTTTGCAACATACCTTGTTGTAATAACAACCCGCGAAATGGAAAACGTGCGCGAAGCAAAACGCGCTAAACCGGGACCTAAGCCTAGTGCTGTGTTGGATTATTTCGAAGAAGTCGGTGACTATAGCTCTAGCTCCAAGCGCTATGCTCGCAAGTGCAAGTTCTGCTTGACAACCTTCCCCGCTCACAGAGCCAAAGTGGAATCCCTCATTGCGCACGTAGCATCCCAATGCAAGTGCATCCCTCCGGCCGTCTGTGCCGACTGGTGTTGGCCTGACACCCAAGCTATCTCTATTTGGGCTGTAGTATTTGTGATAATCACGGTTTGTTAGGAATGCTAGAATGCAGACGCGAATGTGTGCGCACATGGCTCGATGGCTGTCCAGGTCTGGCTGTTGCCCAAATTCATATTTTATCTTGTGAGAGATCGTTTTCCAAACACTAAAGCAATACGCCTTTCATTGTAAAAGCGAAAAAACTGAATTCCATGACGGAATAGCGCAAAAGGAATACGCCACGAGTATTGTAATACGGCATGGCGTGAACCCCGGCGTATTGATACGCCATACGCCTGGCGTATTAATTTGAGGTACCATTATTACGCCAGACGGCCAAAACGAATACGGTCGCATCCCTGCCTGGAATCTGTTTTTCAATTTCCGCCGTACAGCAAACGCGGAAATGCGGATTCTCTTTCCGCATTTCCGCCAATCTGGGCTTCGCTGCGGAAAGCGTGACGAAACCTATTTACGCAGGTTTCCGTTTCCGCAGGTTTCCGTTTCGGCTCGTTCCCTGCCGTACTTGTATACTTGCATGTCATCAGCCAAGTCTCATCATGACCTGCCTCGCTCTCTATGTTCTTGTATTCCATTGTTATACCTGATACAGTTTACACTAGCCACGACTCTAGGATACAGGACGGACCAATAGCTTCCGCGCCGTCTTGACCTGAACAAGTGCAACTCTATCAGAGGTCGGCAAACCCTGAATAACTGTCGCTGGTACTTGTGCCAGGGTCGAATAACTGTATCGAAATTGTTTTTTGTAAAAGCCGAGGAAAGAGTGTCTGCGGGCCGATGTACCAAAATTACTACGTTACACCATCGCTGTTAAAGCCACAGTTGTCTTGTTGCGCTCAATTACGGATAAGTTTGTTCATCAAGTGCGTCACTTAACTGCTCAAATCCGCATCAGAAGTCGTATGCGAGCACAACCTCCAACCGACCGCACGATTACCTCAGTGTTATCTGAGCAATCCGTCACTTCTACTCTGCATAACAACGATGCATATCTTCAGTGGCAAATGCCCTTGGTCAAGGTCGTCAATTGACTGTTCGTTATGAGAATCTCTCAAAGCTAGCGTTTACCTCCTTGTAAAATGGAAGGTTTGGTAACCTAATGATGAAGTTCATAGCTTCAAAACTACGCAAACCTGCCTTTTTCGGGGAATTTCTGCACCCTGCCGTACGGCTGCCGTACCAGCGATGAAGAATAGAATTGAATTTCTGCAACGGGTACAACGGAAGGACCCGCTGTACCAGCGCCATTTGCCGACCCCTGAACTCTATAGTTCCATAAGCTGGAAAATGGAACAAGACTTTCCCGGATGTATTGAACTCCGGTGTGCTTTAGGGGAATCCTATGAACAGCAGAGCCAAAACGTGATACCGCTTTGTTGATATCTCGTCCAGAACTCCTGCATATCGTAGTTTGGCGGGATACCTGTACTGGTTCTGGAACGGATTTCCGAGATACACTTTGTATTTATGGCAGGGTCTTGCCTTTTATCCTCGCTCTAATCCCAGACCTATGTAACGTATAACGAGGTGATCGCTCTGTATTCGCTGCTTAGTTTTCAGGTTATGAGCCCCGCGCAAGGATAGTGTCGCGGTCTGCCGGAACCAGCCAACTGCGGGATTGCAGTCTCAGGATAAGAGCGGCTCTGGTACATTTGAGCCTGGCTGCAGGCAGGGAGGCTACATACAGCCGGATTTGCGAAATGGCCGAACAATCGAAGCGGGTCCCGAAGTTGGAGTCGATCGCCGACTACCCGCAATGGGAGCCGAGGGCAAGAAATGCCCTGATTCTGGATGGTTATTGGGATGTAGTCAACTCTGCTCCTATTACCTCTGTCGAGAAAGGTTTAATGGCGAAGGCCGCGCTGATCATGATGGTCGGCGACAAGTTCCTTCAGGAGATTGATCAGTGCGCGACATCAGCTGCTGGATGGGCATATCTGAAGAAGATCCACAGCGAGAATCAGAAAGGGCACCAGCTACTCTACGACGCACAAATACGCAGCCTCAAGAAGGGTAACGATGAGCGCGTCGAGGATTACGTTAAGCGCACCATTCAGCTGCGTACCAAGCTCAAGGAT